TACACGAGGGGAAGAGGCTCGTTGATTCTCTGGATTTTCAGAATGAATCGGGACGGACTCATTAATTTCCGCGTAATCGTCCGAGCGCTTATATTTGGTCGACGCCTCTCTGTTAGCTCGCGTTTCGGGATCAACGACGACAGTCAACGGGGTCAAGAGGTCTAATCACCTCGAAGCTGAGTCATGGGAGGTATTTACAGTCAACGGTGAAACTAGTCGAGGATCAGGCCTGGATTAAGATTGTTCGAGGCCCGGGACTATGAAATCGTCAGGAACACCCACGGCATTCAACGTGTTAAATAATATTTAATCATAACAGTAATAATTTAGGTTAACAGATTAAATAGCAGTATCGAAAATATTGCATGGTCCCTAAAAAACTACCCCCACCCCCCCAAAAAAAATGGCGACACAAAAGGTGATTGACTTTAATATGAAAATCGTTGGATGTGTTTTCGTTTCAGGCGAACGTGAGCCAAGCCGAGTACGAGAGAGCGCACAGAGAGTACCTGAAGAAAGTTCACCTGTCCACCACAGACGAGCACAGCCCGAAAAGCAGGAAAAGTCTGCACGTGTTTCACGCTACAGGTAAAGAAAAAAGAAAACTGAACAAAGAACAGAAAATGAACTCGTTATACACCTTCTCTTTCTCTCTATCGATACACGCGTATTCTTAAGAGGGTAACGCGCACGATCCTCAGAAACGCGTAATTTCGTGGCCGGCGGCTGTCTGAAAAAATATACACCGCGGCCACGCTATAATTACTGCCCCGCGTAAACAGTCGAGTTTCCGCCGGCCGAATACCGACCTGTGTTACACGAATTCAAAGGAAAGACGCCAGTTTCGCCACGTGCAAAAAGCCCCATCGACGATGCGATTCGTCGTAAAACTGATCGTACACTAACTCTACTGCCTCCCCGAGGTATAATGACTTCGTAAAAACAGTTTGGGTTCTCCACACCTTTAAGTGTTTCTGTGGCAATTCAAGCGCCCAGGGAAGACCAACGTATTTTGCGGGTAGTAGTTGTTGGAGCCCTAGATATACGTACACCAAAACGGGTAGATAAAATATACATTTTTGATCGTCTTAAATAATTTTACATCCTATTAAGAAAAAATTCTGTCAAAGGGTTTAGTGGGATAAGGGGGTTAGAAGTGAAGAAAAAACAGTATGTGCCAGGTTTGAACCGTCTATCTCGACCAGGAGGGTAGTAATAGGTAAGATTCTACAGTCGAGATGCTTAGTTGTCCCAAAAATATGGGACAATCCGCAACATACATAATCCTCATGCAAATACAAATCGAAAAGTCCTTTAACGTTTTGTAATCTGAAGCTCCATTTCCGAGATATTAGCAGTTGAACGAACCCCAATCAGCTGAACGTTTGGCCACGCGTACGCGTGAACAGCTGACTGGTCACTGCGTCTACGCGTATGCGTGGCCGACCGCTCAGCTGATTGGAGTTCATTCAACTGCTAATATCTCGGAAACGGGGCTTCAGATTAGAAAACGGTAAAGGACTTTTCGATTTGTATTTGCATGAGGAATATGCACGTTGCGGATTGTCCCATCTTTTTTATCCTTTTTAATTTCTCATCGTTTAATGTCGCGAGCATAATAGCAGCGTAAAACGTAGACAGTATTTACCGCCGACTGGATGGCATAGGAACAAGAGGTCGCAAAAGCGTGAAACTAGTTAAAAGTCGAGTGGCTCTTTCGAATCCGAATCCTCCTCGAGCCATGGCAACGCGACGCGGCACGTTTCACGCCATGTAGACAAGTACATTGAAAGAAAGGGTCTCGCGAGACACGTGAGATGATGTTTGACTGCGTGGAAAGGGCACGGAGTGGCTTCAAGCACCCTTCAACCAACTTCTAACGACTTTGCCCTCGGATCTCGTTCGTTCTTTATTTGTCGTCCCCGATTACAACCTGCCATAATCTCAAGCGTGTAGAAAGATTTAGCCATGACTTTTCAATTAGGTTTATCGTGGCGATAGAGCTTGAAATTCTGAAGCCAGTGATATTTATTTCCGTCGCATATGGTCAACAGTTTATGAAATATTTAATGTTCAATACCGAGGAGCCTTCGAACACTCATCGAAGATTTACTGTATTCAATATGCTATTTAGCAAGAGAAAATAAATTTCCTTAACCATTGCTGCATTTCTGTATAAACAATGAAAATAGAATTTATTTTCTACCTTTTATCGCATCTCGAAGTCGGTCTACATTTAAAAACAAAAATTTTCTCAATAACATCAACTAGTTCTCCTTACGCATTCGACAGTAAAAACAGGCAGACTGGAAATCCAAGAGCACAGATATATCAGGTGACAAATACTTTCGATCTCGAAAACAAATTCGAGCAGCGTAGTCGTCGTCGAATCGAACACCCGTCCGAAGACACGCGGGTGCCCGAATCCGCTTTAATCCTCGTCCACAGCGTGTAAAAGAAACCCACCTGGTCCCTCGAGAAAGAGAGGAGGACAAGTGGACGAACAGCTACGAACGAATACGGCTCGGTGGTTGTTCGCCTTGTGGGCATCGTCGGCGATCGCGTTATTATGAAATAGAAATTCCGACCGCGTCGACGAGTTCCCGAATGCAATAAGAACGAATCGGCGAGGAAGCTGCGCGCGTACTGGCTCGATTTCCTTTTGTACGTGCACACCCGGCCCGCCGCTACTCGACTCGACGCGATTTCTTCCTCGAGAGATTGCTGATCGGTTGCACCAGCTAGACGGTGGGTCAACAGTTTTCATCTCGATCATCGAAGCATGTTTGCAGGGCCGTTCATTGGCGTAGCCAAGGGGAGGGGCACTTGTTCCCTGGACAGAAAAAAAGTGTCTTTTTGCCCCACCCTACAAAATTGGATTTTGTCCCCCTTCCTTCCCAGAATTATAAAATTTTTGCGTAATATTTAATATTGCAGTATAATTTGAAACACGACCAGTAACCTCTATATCAACCCCCTGGACGGACAAAAGTGGTTTTTGCCCCACCCTACAAGAAAAAATTGGATTTTGCCTCCTGCCCCCCCCTCTCTCCCAGAGTTATAAAATTTTTACGTAATATTTAATATTGCAGTATAATTTGAAACATGACCAACAGCCTCTATTAACAAAACGCATACATTTCGAACGATTCGTGACTTTAAAAAGAAAATAACGTGTGTCTGGCTACGTACAGCTTTTTTCACTGCGGCATCGATGTGGAAATAGTTTTTATAACGACAGAATTTCATCAAATTCATTGCATATGTAATCTTTGTAATAAATTATCACGATTTACGATTTAATTATGATTTCGTAAATAGGGATATTAATTCTACTCACTTCCAGCAGTAGGATCCATTTTTCAAATTTGAAATTGATGCAGTTTCACCAAAGTTACACTGTCTCGAAATAACTTACACGGTTTTAGGTTCTTTTCGGCGTAAGGTGTAGTTCGAACCACGGCCACTTTTGCACTGAGTTATCGACCCAGGTAGAAACGATCGACACCTCCTACCCCTCCCCATTTAATACCCCAACTGCCATACATACCCAAACAAATGATTCCGAACCCGAATCTTTCAAAGAATGACAGTCTTTTAAAGGTTATTCTTGGCTACCAAAACTTACAAGGAGTGTATTTTAGGTGTCCGCCTCCGATTGCTTTGGTTTTCGGATATGTTTTAGAGGACCGAAAAATAAGAGACACGTATTTTTTTCTAGCGGCCCGTTTTCATATTTAGGGGGTGAAACCACCCCTCAAAGTTTCGACCCGGAAGTACTATCTCGAAAACCAGAGGAGATACATGAAAACTTTCAATTGGTGGCTTTCATGGTTTTTTATGTACAATAAACTGGTGTTAACAAATTGTCAAAAATACAATTTGTTTATAACAAAAAAATTTGTTATAACTTTATTTTACAACTTATTGAAATTTGCGTAATGACATAAAATGACGAGCACTTAATTCCAAATCCATTGGTATATTTATTTTTGAAATTGCCTCCTTAGTCCTATTCCAGTATTCTTGGTATAAAAGTGGATACGCAGAAACCAAGTTAGGAGATTTTGTGAATCCTGTAGAATTTGCTTTCGAAGAGAATATAGAAATGAAATGTGCACTCTGTGATGAAACACCGATAGTTAGATGTTCTTGGTGTAAAAAAGCATTTTGTTTAAAACATTCTTTTCATGAATATCACTTTTATGACAAATATGAACCGTAAAGTCTTCGATAATATATGTATTCTCCGAAAACCGAGGCATTCAGAAGCTTAAAGAGCGAGCGTGCGCACAGGATATAAATAATAAAAAACTGCGAGACTAAGGAGGCAATTTCAAAAATAAATATACCAATGGATTTGGAATTAAGTGCTCGTCATTTTATGTCATTACGCAAATTTCAATAAGTTGTAAAATAAAGTTATAACAAATTTTTTTGTTATAAACAAATTGTATTTTTGACAATTTGTTAACACCAGTTTATTGTACATAAAAAACCATGAAAGCCACCAATTGAAAGTTTTCATGTATCTCCTCTGGTTTTCGAGATAGTACTTCCGGGTCGAAACTTTGAGGGGTAGTTTCACCCCCCAAATATGAAAACGGGCCGCTATAAAAAAATACGTATCTCTTATTTTTCGGTCCTCTAAAACATATCCGAAAACCAAAGCAATCGGAGGCGGACACCTAAAATACACTCCTTGTTAGATCCACAACACTAGATTGGACTGTGTACTGTTCAAAATATCTTTCTATAAAGATCTTGATTTCTTCATTGACGCTATCCAAATATAATTACAACATATCTAAAAATCATCCAAATTGGACTATAGGTAGCTTTTCTACAGAGTTGGGCAGAATTTTATTCGAATAACTCACATTGAAAAGCAGCAGTATCTAAGGATGTCGTCCTGAGCTTTAAACAGTTAATGAGATTAAATAATTGTTCGACAAATGTCGATTCATTCATAAAGAAGTACTACTTTCTAATAAAAATTGAAATTTCCACGTTCAAACAATTAAAAATAACGAAATACTTTGTTTTATCTTTTATTCGTTATTCGAAACTTTTTATCTAGATAATTAATTTGCCCATCTCTGCTTTTCTACAATTTCATCTATTCAATTTTCGAGCATTTATAAAAACGTTATCCATCTGCCCCGAACTTCCCCGATACCACGACTGTAGGGGTCGCGTGCCGATCCCCCGAGCCAAAATACCGCGAAATTCCGCCCGGAGGAAAATGAATGATTCCCGCGGACGTGTGTGTATTTTTAGCCTGCGATCCTCCGCAAGGTAATCTATAATTGGTATGCCGAGCCGCGAATAAACGAGCTATTTGGATATCACCAGTCCGAATTCCGGCTCGGTGACGAGTTTTTTTCGGAGGGGAGGGGGTGGCGTCAGGAAGGGGATCCGCGTAGGCTTCCTCGAAACTTTTACGCCGGAATAATCGAAATACCATGGATTCCGTACCGATTTCACGGCGAGTTATTTTGCGATATCGCTGGTCGATCGCCAAACGCGATCGTTTCATCGGTTCCGGTATACGCGAGGATCCTATTCTCGGGACCGATTCGATGAAT